ATTTCTAGAGCTACCTGGAGTATTTGGAGAGGGAGACAGAAAGAGATACTAAAAGCCTCCTTCCCATTTTTCCTGGGCAGTGATCAAATATAAATAGAAGCATTTCAACAGAGATGTTTAAAAGTGTCACTATCATCCAATTCCAACTTTGCCACCTATATCTCAAATCACACAAAAGAAGGCACTGCTTTTTAACTGAGATCATTGGACTATACAAATGCTATCTATTTTAGGAGGGAGAAATTCTCATAAGCCCTTACAGTCCACCAACTGCATTGAATGAATATGAAGTTTGTCAGTATCTGAGATTTCCTGATGTTGGCTTGATTGAACTGGCAGTAATTCCCCAGGATGTCAGGAAGACTCCCCCTCAGCCTACATTCCTGCAAATGTTAAAAAGAAGGAAGCAAAGACTGAACAGACTAACCATTTTCGTGAAGATCTTTGCTGTGCCAAAAATGAATCTGATGTTTTTGTGTGAGCCATCAAGCAGCTAAACGTCTGCTCTGACATATCATGTAACTTTCTATATATATCTAAAGTAATTTTTGTCTTTAAATTTCTCACCTTAAATCAAAGTTGCTGTCAGGTCAACTCATCATGACATGTCAAGTGCTTGAAGATTCAGCACTGCACCAACTGTTATTATAGCAATTGAGCAGAAGAAAACAAGGGACGTTGGTTAAAGAGTGTTGCTATGAAACGTCTGCTATTTGATTGTAATCAAACAGTATTGAGAATTCCAAATACCAAGGAATTCCATCATGGGGAATATCTTTCTCTCCTTCTTTTGCATTATACCAATAAAAGCTTTTTTTAAAAAAAGTAAATAAATACAATAACTCCATAGCCAATGTGCAGTGGGGTGAACTCGTGTTCCTTGCCCCAGATCCTGCCCACCTAGCAGTGTGAAATCATATAAATGCAATTGGATAAATAGGTACCATTTCGATGGGAAGGTAACAGCGTTCTGTGCACCTCAGTGTATAACCATGCTGGCCACATGACTGCGGAAAATGTCTTCCGGACAACACTGGTTCCCTCAGCTAAGAAACAGAGATAAACAAGGTCCCCTAGAGTTGGATATGACTAGATGGGGAAAACCTTTACCTTTACTGGCTTCATGATTGCAGATAGTCCTTGACTTACAACAATTTGTTTAGTGACCATTTGAAGTTACAACAGCACTGAAAAAAGTGACCCATCACCATTTTTCACACTTATGTCCACTGCAGCATCCCTGTGGTCAGGTGATCAAAATTCGGATGCTTGGCAACTGGTTCATATTTATGATGGTTGCAGTGTACTGGGGTCATGTGATTACTTTTTTGCGACCTTCGGACAAGCAAAATCAACGAGGAAGCCTGATTCATCAACAACTGTGTTACTAACTTAACAATTGCAGCAATTCGCTTAACAACTGAATAACAGAATAATAGATTTGGAAGGGACCTTGGAGATCTTCTAGTCCAACTGTAGCAAGAAAGGTCATAAAATGGGGCAAAACTCACTTAGCAACCTTCTTGCTTAGCAACAGAAAATTTTGGGCTCAATTATGGTCATAAATCGAGGACTACCTGTATAAGGATGAATTGGAATTTGCTCCTGCTGACTGTGTATTTGGGCATATGTTTTTTCTGTGGAAGAAAAAAATAATACGAGGTAAAAGTACATAATGGATGTATTCCAAGTCCTTTCTGTAAATAAACTTTTAAAATGAAGTACAAGAAAGGCTACTATAGTAAGTATGTCAATTCTCAAGTGTTCCTGATATTGTTAGGGCCTAATATAAGATTTGTCTGCCTGTTTTCTCATTTGCCACTTTTTCAAGAATGGGACCCCCCCAAACACCAAGATCCCACAGGCTCACTTCAAGAAAGGTTCAGAGTAAGCTTCCACGTAGCCTCAATAAGGCTTAGAGAGTGACTGGGAGGTTTGTTCCTTTCCGCCCCCTTTCTGATTGGAAAGCAGTGACTCTTCAGTCCTTTAAAAGAACTAAGCTTCTTAAAAATTAACCAGTAAGATTAACTATGTGAGATAACTGAGCACTATTTATTTTCTTTGGGGATTACTGGGTTTCCTTTTGGAGGGAAAAGTTCACAATATAATATTATGCTATTCTCTGTGCAAAGTTCTCTTAATGGGGAGAGTGACAGAGATGGCCTTGACTGAGAAAAGGAAGATCCATTACCAAGGCAACAAAAAGGTAAACATTGCTTAAGCTCAAAGGAGGGAAGAATTTTACAAAAATATCTCAAGACAGACAGCCCTAATTCACACAAATATAAAAAGGGAGGAGGGAAAGACATTCAGACTTGCTAAATTCTGTTACTGTAGCCAATTTCAATAAAAAAAAGTTTTAGATTATGTGGAGTCTGTTTTTTAGTCTGGTCTACCTCATAGGGCTGATGTTTAAACAATATATATATACAAGTCTGTGAGATAAAAGTCAAGGGACAAATTATACTATGACAACCAAAAACTGTGCTGCCTTCCAAAAATCCAATGAATGAGTTGGGAGAATGTCATGCCCAGACAAAAGCGAAAGTGGGGTTACACTTTAAGCTCCATCTCTTACATCCCTTTCTTCTGACATCTCCTCATGACCTTCTGTAAGAAAATCCAGCAGGCCAGCAACTGTTCAGGGTATGCAATCATGTTTTCTGGTTGACTAGAAATTGCTATAATCCCTTGCAGAATAATAGAATAACAGAGTTGGAAGGGACCTTGGAGGTTTTCTAGTTCACCCCCCTGCTCAGGCAGGAAGCCCTATACCAGTGATGGCGAACCTATGGCACGGGTGCTAGAGGCGGCACTCGGAACCCTCTCTGTGGGCAGACATGCCGTTGCCCCAGCCTTGCCTCCCCCCGTGACCTCCTCTTCTCCAGCAGCCCCCCTGAAGGGGAGTCGCCCCCGAGCATGGCCCACATGGAGCAGCGCAGCCAAGGACATGGCAGCCAGGCAACATAGACAAGACTCTGTCCTCACGCCCCATCATGCAGTTGATACTGCAGGGCACGGGCAGAGGGTGTGGCTGCCATAGCGCTGCTGGGCTACCTGGGTGATCTGCGGTGGGCCCTGGAGGCAGTGAGTGGTCCTGTGGGCAGGTGGGGTGGGGGATGGGGGGGCAGAGCGGGGGCAGGGCAGGGGGGTGGAGCAGGGGCAGGGCCAGTTTTTGGGCACTCGGTCTCTAAGGTTCGCCATCACTGCCCTATACCATTTCAGACAAATGGCTGTCCAGTCTCTTCTTAAAAACTTCCAGTGTTGGAGCATTCACAACTTCTGGAGGCAGGTTGTTCCATTGGTTAATTGTTCTGTCAGGAAATTTCTCCTTAGTTCTAGGTTGCTTCTCTCTTTGATTAGTTTCCATCCATTGTTTCTTGTCCTGCCTTCAGGTGCTTTGGAGAATAGGTTGACTCCCCTCTTCTTTATGATGGTGTGAAAATATACTTTTCAATAGCCTTAGAATTCCACCTACCCACCCGTACCATTTTACACGCAATATGGAACGTAAGAGTTTGATTTGCTCCAGCCACTGGGACAGGCGAATGAGCAACAGGAAGAGAGGATGAGTTGTCAGAGGAAAGGGGGCGAGTATCAGAACTCTGGAGCCAGGCCAATTTGCCAGGCTGTGACTTGAGTACCTTAAGCCGAGTTTAAAATGGAAAGCAAACACTTTACCAAAGCCTGTATTTTGCTGAATTATTAGAATGCTGCAGTCCTTTTTGAAATAACCTGTAGGTCAGCACTTGTACAGACACAATTCCCTGAGGACTATAACCGAGGGCTGATAGCACCTTTGCCAACTAGGACATTTTATTAAACGGCATAAAGTTTTGAGCGCTGCAGCTCTCATCAAAAGACAAAAGCTTTTACCTTTGAATAAAAAAAGCCGGAGTCAGAAAAAATGTTACCAGACCCCTTTTGATTTTTTGATTTTTTTTTAACCATCATAGACTACCCCACCTCTCCTCCCACCATGTCAGGAAGAGAGAGAATTTAGTACTTCTTTATAAAAATAATAATAATTCTCTTCCATATTGTAATACATCATGGAAGTGGTAAAAGGGAAATAGATTCCCCTGTCTCTGCCTGCAATATAAATAATATTTGGCATTTGAATAGTACTTCCACACGTGTTCAAAATGCATTGGATGCATTCCCCTTACAGCAAACCTGCCAATCAAATCATGATTTTTGTTCCCCAAGTGACAGAGTGCAGAGCATGAGGCTGAGCCTCTCAGCTGCCTCGTGAGTTTCTTGGCAGATTCAAACTTGGAACTGGGAACTTCCGGCTTCGTAGCTCGGTTTATTCATCAACATACACATCAGTACTCAAATCCAAGTTCATTGAACTTCCCTCATCTCACCAATAGGGCTTTCAAGGTCATCTAGGAAAAGACCACCTTATCCTTATCTACAGTAGGATCTTGGGGGAGTTTATTTTGTCCCTTACACCTCAATCTCTGCCAAATAAAGCTCCTCCAGCACTTTCGTTCCCATTGGGCTTTTGCTGTTGCTGTAGGAGGAGGCAGAAGGAAGCTTATGTGTTGTTTATTTTTCTTAAAAAAAACCCTCTTCATTAAAGCTCCTCCTTGCTTGAGGCAATGGAGTGTTGATGGTTTGAGACACTCCTCTAGCATCAGTGAGTCATTTCCCTCCCGACTGATGTCAGAGAGGCCTTTTGTGCTTCACGAGGATTGGCTGTGCCTGGCTCATAGGGGCTGGCTCAGTGGAAAGGTGAATGTGCAAAGAAGCAGCTGTGGAGGGGTGTGTACTTATGCATGTGTGCAGTTAGAGAGTGTCTGCAGCAGGCACAGACAGTTGGGCTTGGCCAGAGCAGAGGTGTTTTGCTTTGTTTGGAAAGCACTGAGATGGAGACAGCAACAGGGGTTGGCTGTTTGTGAGAGGTTCGTTGGATTGCTTATCCCAGAAGAATAAGAGAGGAGGAGGAGGAGGAGGAGGAGCTTTGAATTTTTCTTTCTTTTTCCTGAAGTGCAAATCAGCGTGGGACACCTGAGCCTGCTATGCCAACCGAACTCTCCCACATGGGGAGAATGCATGCCATCTCTGATTTCCCCTCCTCGCTGACAGCACGGCTTCTCCACAAGGGTCCAGAACACCTTCGCAAGCAGATGGAGGCAGCCAACCCTAGCAGGAAGAGCGCCGTGGAAAGGTTGGCAGCAGATAAGGCCAAGTACGTGAAAAGCCAGCAAGTCATCAGCAGGAAGCAGGTGCCGGCCATCACCCTCAGCTCAACTTCGGAGAGCAGCAGTGAGACTTGCTCAGTGGAAAGCAAGAAGATTGAACTCTCAAGAGAGGAGAAGGACACGGCAGCCCAAGTTCCCAGGACCACAGAACTCAGCCCGGCAACCCGGCAGAGCGGTCCGCCCATTGTGAGGCGCAACAGTGGTAAAAGGCAGATCCGGCCAGATTCCTTGGTGATCTATCGTCAGAAATGTGAATTCGTCAGAGGTCAAAGCCAGGAGAATACTCGTGGGAATTTGTTCCAGGGTTCCTTCAGGAGATTGTTCCAGGGTTCCTTCAAGGAAAAGCAGCTGCTTTCTGAGGTGTCCAAAGCAGTTCTCAAGGAAGAAACCATTCCTGAAGTGGAAGGGACTATCTTGGACAAAGACACAAGTCATAGTTATGATCTAGAAGGACAGAATTCATCCACAAAGGCAAACCCAATGCCCTTTCTGGTCAGCAGATGCAAAACTGCCCTAAATGTGACTTCATCACCTTATGACCTAAAGGAGATGAGATCGAAAGGTCTTCAAAGATCTCAGTCAGATATCAGTTCACGATATTCAAAATCCTTCTCTGAATTTGACACTTTTTTTAAGAGCTGTGGCCTTGCACCTGAGGTAATAAAAGATTTAGGCCAAGAGAATATTTCGGCAGCTTCAGACAATTTCTCATTCCATCTGCACAGCATCAGCGGGACAGCTTCTGAAAGTGACTTCACAAGACACAGCGATGAGGATGGACTCCTGGAGGAAGAGCTCACAGAACAGGGGCCTAGTGGCACCTCTGTGGTTGAACGCAATGCTCGGATAATCAAGTGGCTGTACATGTGCAAGAAAGCCAAAGAGGCTAATGTGATGATGCAGGACTTTGCATCAGGACTGCTTCCTTCATAGAGACACCCAGGTCAGTGTAACACAAATGCATGTGTGCAAAGTGTATCTGTGCACCTTTGAGATCACCGTGCATAGCTATGAATATACAGAATAAGGTTCTCTCCTTTTTATGTCTCTAGCATCATGGAGTAAGGGATGGGGAAATTGTCTTTAATATATAATTATATTTAATATATAAAGAATTATGGGCATAACATACGGTACCCGTTTTGATAATTCTTGCATTTGGGCCTTCCATAATTTTATAATGGTAAATGTTTCCAGAAAGTTAAAGCTGGTTACTGTTTCTTTTATGAAAGATTCCACTGTTTGAGCTGACCTTTAGAAAGTCATGGACTTTGCTAAGGAGAAATGAGAACCACCAAAGAAATTTAAAGTCAATATTTACACATCATGTCTGTCCTCTGACTGGCAAATAGCTTATTTACAGCAGGTTGGGCCATGATAACAAAACGCCTAGCCATTTGCTCAAGCCTTCATTTTATCTAATTAAGATAAACTGGCACACACTTTGTCCTTTGCAGAATGGGACCTGTCAATTTCATCATCCCTCTACTATCCTCTTTCTTATTTATCCCTTTTAAGTTATGGCGAATAAGAAACCTTTTTGTGCCTTCTTTTTCCCACTGTATTTCATTTGATAAGCCTTCCTCTTACGTCACAACATAACAGGTTCGGCAGCTATTTCCTGGCATCTCTCATTTTCCATTCTGTTGAGGAGTGAGTGGGATATCTCTTGCTGTTTCATTCTATTTATTGCCTTTCGCCTCAACTTGACTGAAACTGGATACATGACTGCATCTGTGCAAAAAGGAGGGCTTAAATATTAGGGCTGTTGTTGATTCAGCTGGTGCCCCAATAAATCTAAAAGGACTGGTTCCCAGTCAAACGGGAAATGGACAGCATGATGTAGTACAGTCTTGGGCACAGTTTCCTAGGAAGTAGGATATAGTATATCAATAAGATTTACTTCTCACCAAATATACTTAGCATTTGGACTTTGCAATGGCTTTGTAGCTGGACATTTTAAAAACAACACTTACTGAAAAGTTGTGTAGGAGTCAGAAGATCCATTCACAAACTTGAACCTTTGATATACTGTAATTGATTTGGCAGTTTCCCCATCATTCACTGAACTTTAAGCACTGATCCAGAATTTAACAATTGGTACATCAAGGCAAAACAACAACAACCAAACAAGCTGTTTCAATCAGTTGCAACAGCTAAATGATCATACATGTGAGATAGAATCCCTTTGAAATAAATGGAAATTAAGAGGTTTACACTCCATGAAGGAAGTGTGCTATTGTGCAAGGGACACTTTGCATGGGCTATGACTACCCTACTCTTCAACAGCTAGGCATGTGCTTGTATTTTTCTTACTGGTGTTTACTGGAAACACAGAGTGTTGACTGGCTGTCCCAAATGCAGTCATCGAATACTGGTACTTACCACTTGGAGCAGCGGTGTTTCTGGTTAAACGTACTGAGATTAAATAAGGTAGTTTACCAAATAAACTTACAAAGTAAGAGACATCAGTTAGCATCTATCGGCCAAGAGAGACCAATCAGTTGATGCGCCCTTGAGCCACAGCTAATTTAGCCATAATAATCTGTTCTGATGCTAGGCACATCATAAAATACAATACATGCAAAAATATATTTAGGTCAAATAGTGAGGTAAGTGTATTGTACATTATAAGCAACCAAGCCCTACATACATCTTTGGAAGGGCAAGTGTCTTGGTCAGGATCACTCCGAGATAACATGCTACTTGAAGTAAGTCTCAGATGGCATTTCCTTCTGAAAACTGAGCAAGCAATGTTGACATGAAGCAGAAATGCTTGGGAGAGAAAACACAGCAACAACTAAATAAATAATGAATAATTTGCTGCTGTGTTCAAGGAGGTTATCTCACTGCTTAATTATAAGGTAGTCATTGTCTAGAGCCATCTTAGCTGAGGTTCAAGCACTAAGGAATTTGCATTTGGTTAAGATACAATAGTGTTTGTTCATGAAGAAATGATCCCATAGCTTAACAGAGAAGTCCTGGCTGTATCACCTGGAGCGATTTTGTTTAAAGAGAGAGAGATTTGATAACATCTGAATAGAAAACCAAGGTTTTAATTATTCACCAGTACTTCATTCTTAGCAGAAGGAAAATAAATGAAATTTGATTTCCTTGATTTTTTAAAAAAAGCATGACAATATAAATCTATTTATTTTTCTTCATAGGAAAATAGCAAAGTAGTTACACCCACTTATGTTTCCATTTTATCTCAGAAAAGAATAATCCCATACCAACTCAACCTCTATGTATTTGATGATTGTCTATCAGACAGTCTTATGAGCCTAATCTCCTAGACTGGCTATGCTTTCAGGCAAGAAACAGAAATTAAATTAAAATAAAAACTAAAAAAATGGACATGCATCTCTCACATACTATATACATTGGAAAGGGTTTTTAAAAAAACCTTTAGTGTTTTATGGGGAACAGCTTTGGAAAGAGTTCATGGAATACAGGGTGGAAAAAGTCTAGACCAATGTTTTTCAAACTTGGCATGTTTAAGATGTGTGGACTTCAACTCTCAGAACTCTTCAGCCAGTATGGAGTTGAAGACCACAAATTTTTAAATTGCCAAGTTTTAAAAACACTGGTCTAGAAGAAATAATACAAATAAATTCTCATGGGTTCATTTGTAAGGAAACACCATTGAATTCAAGAAGATTGGCTTCCAAGTTCTTTTTACTCATCTTTCCACTCAAACACACAGTTTCCGGAATGGTGTTGATGCTGAGGAAAAGAATATTCATTTGTTAGAGTTTTATTGTATTTCTTTTATGTTTAATAACTCCAAGTAGCAAACATACTTAAGACTCCTTTCACTTTCCATTTTCCACAACAACAACAACAACTCTGTGAGTTAGCTTGGGCTGAAAGAGAGTAACTGGCCCAACGTCACCCACCTGGCTTCATGCCTAAGGCAGAATTAGAACTCATAGTTTCCTGGCTTCTAGGCTAGCACCTTAATCACTACACCAAACTGGCTCAATTACATTAATAAAATCTGAGAAAATATTTCTCTGAACAGAAGACTCTTGACTGACCTATGTTTGGAAAATCACAGACCTCGTGTTAAGCCATGATTTGTTTAATAAGTCACAATCATCTGATATATTTACAAGCAACTACAACTACTCAGGTTATAGTGGTAATTGGGACTGAAATTTCCTTGCTAAGCTGCATGGTTGTAAAGTGGCAATAGCAATATCAGCAGTTTTGTTGCTGTCATTAAGTGAGGACCTCACAGGTTTTTATCCTGTTGGTGTAGTTAGACTTGTTTAAATGAAAGTGTGTTCCAGTTTGAGTCACAGCATGGCCCTAAAGAAAAGAGTGTTCTTACTTGAAAATCTGCAGGGCAGAGTTTAGAATTTACCAGGAAAAAATAAGATAAAAAAATCCATCTATAACAGAGGCCTGATCAATGGTTCTTTCTTTAACTTATCCTTGGAAATAGATAAATTAGTTAGGAGGCTGAGCTGTGTGAGTAGCAACTTTTCTAAAACCGGATCTGCCACATTGGGAAAAGAACACCAACAGATGAGAGAAAGGAACCCACAAGATAAGTCAGCCAGTTCAGATGATAGTTTCAGAATGAAATCTCCATCCCATCCTTTAAACTGACACTAGTAGTGAAGGAAGTCTAGCTGCAGGAGAGAAAGCAGTAAAGGAGATCTTGGGACCAAAAATTGGATTAGGAGGAGGGCTGGTTTCACAGACTTGACCTTGAAGACTTGGCTAACTCCTAGAGTGGAAGGCAGGTATTCTGGTGTTTGGGGTATTTGCTGACTAATCCAAAACAACATCAAAAGCCATCCAGGGAGCATGGTACAGAATGAGGCATCTTTCCCACAATCTTTCTTATTTGTCCCCATCTGCCTTCGCAGAAAGATATATCAGAAATGGCCTTCTCCAATATTAAATCTTCCTCATCTTTTCAAACTCTCCAGATTTTTGGCTAGGATAAACACATTGTAAAGGACGTCAGGTTGAAAACAATTGAATTGTTTGCTCTGTTTTCTCAAAAAGATTGGGGTTTCTACACAGAGAGACAGTTTGGTCTAGTGGTTAAGGCAACAGGCTAGAAAGTGTGAGTTCAAGTCTGCTTTAGCCATGAAAAACCAGCTGGGTGACTTTGGGCCAAGTTTTTCTCTCTCATTCTCTCTCTCCCCGACCCACTTCACAGGGTTGTTGTGGTGGGGAAAATGTGTTGGATAGATTCACTGACTTGGGTTGTTTATAAAAATAATAAAGGTGGGATACGAATAAATAAAAATAGATAAATATAGCTGATTCTGAGCTTTTCTAAAATATTTGAAACAGGAAAGCCTTCTTCACTAACCAGTGCTTGACTTCTCATAGGTCCCTGATTGAGGGTAGTAGCTTGGAAAGGATGTGGAAAAGGAAATATGGTGGTGATGGAAAGGGAATGGTTAAGAATTTTATTTTTTAATTTGCTTGTCAAATCAAGTTTTGTCCCCCTATGATTGGTATAAGCTACAGTTACAGATTTGAGGCTGGAAATAATCATTTTTGCTAATAGGCATTTTATTATGAAGCTCCTGCAGGATATAGAGTTTTGCAAGCATTTAAAAGATTCTAAAGGCAGACCCCAGGGAAAAGATTTATGCATTGCAATAATCCATTATTGACTTAAGCATGGTTTGTTAATTGAGCCACAAAGGGCTGAGTTCCCATAATATGCTAAGATGTCCACCATATTATACAATCCACAATGGTTAAGTCACACTTCACACTATGCTAAAACCAAACAAACTACACTTTGGCTTAGCATAATGTGTGAATCTAGTCTGTAAATAACTCTGAGAGCCAGCACTACCAAAAGAACAGCTCCAAATAGCAATGTTTTGAGAATGTTGTTGGTAGCTAATTTCACTGTGTCCTTCAAAATATCAGAAGAGAGATTTTTGATCTTTGTTAATTTAGAAT